TTTTGTAAAATATTTGATGTCCTATTAGTCTCTAAATATGGAGCTTATATTTGAAAATTATCATGTTTGTTTTTTGAATATTTTCCAATAGTTAGAGAAAGTCTATCGTCCTTAGGCTTCTTTCTCGGATTTACTGAATAGCTTAATAGCCGTACAATATGCGTCAAGTGCCCCTGTAAGTATGCAGTTAGAGCCAAGTAAAACCGAAAAAGATAAGAAAGTAAAAGGTCCCTTGAGTCCTTGTCTCGTTTAGACCTGCTACTCTTTTATAGAAGATTACTTTTTAAATGTAATTTAAAAATACTATTCAGAGAAGTTAAATGAAATTGTGGTTGTACTCCAACATTTTAAAGAATTTATTACTTTCTTTTAGAAATTTTATTAGCCACCTAGAAACAATATTGACAGAATTTTACCCTTATTGGATGCCATTTTAAAACATACACACACATAAAAAAAAAATGCCAAGTGAATTTGAAGCTGTAAATACATGTTCTTAAATATTCCATGAAGCAATTCTCTCACAAGGGGTCACGTGTTTTAGCTTAAACGACAATTTGCATACGAAACAAGTGAGGAGGGGGGCGGGGGGTAGAAAGCAAGGGTTGAAAGGGCAGAGAAACTAGAGTGGGTGTGGGGCTTAGGAAAACTGGGGAGACACACACGATTTTCCCTGAGCAATCTTTAGTGTCGAATGGTGCCAAGTTGGAAATGCACTTTTTATGTTCGTATGGCGTGCAACGTAACAAATTTAACCGTAGACAGATTGCACATGTGTACCGTTTTGTAATGTTATACATGCAACACACACTCACACAAACACACACTCGGAAATACTCCTCACATAGATACACTCAAACAAGTACAAAATGGAAAAATATAAGCAGAAAAGATGAAGTCGCAGACGTTACGTTGCCCGGCAAAAGTTTTCATCCAGAGGAGGGGGAGGCGATGGAGAGAAAATGGGGAAAATGAGGAGGAAAAGGTTCCACAAATGTGAAACAAATTGTTTAATGTCCTATATCTCTTTCTCTCTCTTTCTTTCTGTCTGAATGTCTCTGTCGCCCATATCGGGCCATCTCTTTCGGTTTGTGCGTGTTTGTCAATGCGACAATTTCTCGACATCGGAGTTAAGTAATCGCACGTTTATTACCTCCATTTTCCCCTATTTTCCTTCCCATTGTGTCTCTCCCTCTCTCTCTTTCTCCTACTGTCTGTCTCTGTCTTGGCCATCAAAATCATGGCTTAATCGCTTTGGCTCGTTGCGGCTAATTGCAATTTGAAATGCTCCATGAGTTGGGATAAACTGAGTTGACTGTGATTTGTTTTAATTCAACACTTGTCAGGCAAACTTCTGAAGTTATTTTTCATTGGTACTTTCTTACTTGTATCTTTCTATAACTAATTTGTCAAATACGCCAAGTAGACCTGATTACCAGCTATTTAGGTGAGTTAGAAACCAATTAATCTGCTTTTCTGCTATCTTTTTTTCACTGACTTGCTCGGAAGCATCCAAATTATTAAATAAAATATTGATTTTAATATTTTTAAAAGAAAGTTAAGCTTACAATACCTTAATAGAAATAAATAAGCTAGAAAGAATAAGTAGAAGAGAAGAGCACAATAAAAAGTCTATAAGTTAGTCTTCTCGTTGACATATCGTTCGATTTTAAGTCCGCTATCAACCTTTAAATTATCAAACAAACTTTAAATTAACCTTTATTTAAACCTCTTTAAATTTTGGCCAGCTTATTGGAGTGACTAAATTAAAAATGAAATGAAAAAAAAGTCTGAAAACTTTAATGTACCACAGATTAAAGAAAAAATATGTTACCTGATACCATTTAAGCTAGTTTAAATAAAATATTGTTTATTTTAGTGGTTTTCATTATAGGAGGCAAAATAATACCCTAGTCACCACTTAAGGGCTAACAGCACACTTGTTAGTCAACACTGTTTCAAGCACAACCTACTTAACTCAACCAACACTCACCGGGTATACCGGGAATAGTACCGGGTATCAAACACTAAGGTTATTTTTGAAGCTCAAAAATAAAGTGTAACTTAAATAAATAATTAAATAATAATTATTATTGTAATAACCACCTAAAAAACAACACCCAACACTTCCATTAGAAACACTGAATGAGTAATGCATTGCAATGCAATTAAACATAAAAAAATACTAATGCACTTTGTCTTAAAAATGGAAACTGGAAAGACAGGGGCAGGGGCTTGGAGCCGGGTGCCGGGTGCCGAGTGCCGGGTAGGAGTATCCAATCCAGCATTGTCGCAATGTGACGCATACGCGTATATTTTATGGCCAACAAATATGGTAGAAACGTTGGGGGGGACAGATAACTATATAACTTCATTATGAGCACATGCCTGTAAAGTGCAGTGCGAAAAGCCCAGAGATACCGAACAAAATCCAGAGCCCAACCCAGCCAACTGCCGGCATAAGCCAAGCATTAATAATAAACAACTTACAAGCCATAAACCAATGGGATGCCGACTTCCAGCTACTACCAACGAGTCTCAAATAAATTATACCATGAAAAATAAACAAAGTGAACCGATGGCAATGCTACATTAAAAAGAGCGACAGGGGCTGGCAAACGCATTTGCAGTCAAAAAAAATTAAAAAAAAAAAAAAAAATCACACAGTGAGTGCTAAAATTATGACAACAGGCGGCTGATCCTGAACTGGCTTCAACCCAAAAAGCCAAAAAAAAAAATAAAAGACAGGAAAAGGTCCGCCAAAAATGGGATAAAAAAAAAGAAGAGAAAAGAAATCCGTTCAACTGGCAGCCAAAAGCCAATGGCGTTGGTAAAAATTGACACTGGACATGGGGACATCGAAGTGGACATGGACGTGGACGTAGATGGGTGTCTAGGGGGTAAGAGGATTTAACAGAGGGGGGGAGCAGCGAACATGGAAATGGACATGGGCATGGACATGGACATGGCCGTAGACGTGGACACACGATGGCATTGGCGACAGTCGACTGACTGAGAAAAACGTCGAATGATGCATGCCACATGCTACGCACTTTGCACAGATAGAGCTAACCAGCCAAAAGATTTTTTTCTACATTCCAAAAAACAGAATCACACAAAAATATAAGAAACATTAAATCCACAAAAAAAAAATTAAATTAAAAATACATATGTATTGAGTTTATAATTTTAAAATAGTATATTTTAGCTTTAAGATTTATTTTCCAACACAATTTTTTTAAAAAATATTCAATATTAATTATTTTGTTATATTATTTAATATTTTCCGCCATTTTGTAGAACATCCTCGTAACAAAAATGGCGACAATGCTCTAAAAATGGCAACCGAAACCCAGCCGCGAAAAAGAAACAAATTGAGAAAGTGAGACACACATAATAGTAAGAGGGAGATAGATATACTGAGATAAAAAAATGTGTTTTTTTGGCAAAAAGCCGGGCTTGAAGGAACGAAAAAAAAAAAATTGTTAAAAACTGTAATATTCGTATGTGTAAGTGAAAATTTGCGAAAAAAAGGGGAAATGGACACTATTGTCTCTGGGAAAATATGTGCTAGAGAGAGAAAGAGATAGATAGAGCAAGGAGGGAGAAGGATATATGCAGATGAAGCACTGAAAATGGCAATAAAACGAAAAATCAGGAGAGTCCATAAGACCACAGCGTGTGGCTTTATGAATAAAATAGGGAATAGACTATAAGATACCTGGTACTCGATGTTACTATTAAATCAATAAAGCTTCTAGATAGTTGGCTTAAGCTTAGTTGTAATTCTCTATAAACCTTCAGAATTTTAATAAATAAATATACATGATGATCTAACAATTATAGGATATCCTTGGCACTTAAAAGATTTCAAAGTAGTAGCTGGTGTCGGAGAGTCATCTGCATACTCACAGCTGGATATGGTCAAGTTGGCGCACAAAATTGCCTGGGAGTGTCGCCAACTGTGATGACTTCAATATGCACTGCCCCTTACACTCCCCACACACTCCCGCCTCGGGTCCTTATGCCGAGGAATGCCTGAATTCTAGATGTCCGCAAATCCAAAGTGAATCTCGGGGAGGAGCAACTCAAAAAAAAATTCAGAAAAAAATGAATCGGATTAGATGTTTCCGGGATAAAGTCAACAAAAGACCTGGAAGGCAATTGCCAGGTGTTGGGTCGAAAGGATGCCATCGATAGTTGGCAATACAGGACGAAAAAAACAGGATTGGATATGAGAGCAGTGAGGTGTTTTAGAGATTAGAGGATAGAGTTCAAGTGCAGGAAGGCCAGATTTAGTTTTTAAAAACTAAAACCTTTAATAAAACACTTATTTTTTTGTTTATTTAGAGTAGAGTCTCCTCTTAAATTTCCTTCAAAAACAATTACCTCTCAATTTGCATATACCTTTCGGCCTATCTGTTTGTCTGAGGGCCACCGCCTATGTCAACTGATGCCGTGGCCAGAACTACTTATTGCATAGCCAAACAAGCAGATTATTTGGTAAATAAACCAAACAAACAAGCCAAGAACCCAACTACCCTACCTACCTAGGCTGTGGGTCCCACAAAATGCAAACAGTCCGTTGTTGAAAAGGGAGCGGCCCTAAAAGCGGCTTCGAAATTAATTTTAACTCCCAGGCCCAGGACATCATCCAGGCCACCAGTTCAGTTGGCTTTGCTTAACTGATTAAGTCTCTTGGTTACTCGGGTTTTCCCGGGTGTTTCCCAGCCCATTCCTCCACTCGTCATGAATCAAAGCACAAAGTAATGGCCAAAGTTGCCGGGAAAGACACTTTTGGATCGTATGGAGTCTGTATGGTCAGTGCAGTGAAAGAAATTAGTCAGAAACTTGTTTTAAAGACCTTTTAATAGTTTATAATTTTTTTCTGTCAGTGTTTGGGTCATTCTTTTGGACAAACTATATGGGTCCCAAATAGCTCCCGGCATCATGGCCAGGAATAAAAACTGTACAACAAATGTCATAAAACGGCCACTCACCTCGATAAACTTTGCTACGCTTGCCAGCGGCAACGATTTGTTGCTGTTGTTGTTGTTGCTGCTGTTGTTGTTGTTGTTGCTGCTGTTGTTGTTGTTGCTGCTGCTGGACAGCCGCAGCATCAAGTTGCAATAGCAAACGAGGAGCTGATGCAACGGCTGCTGCTGATGCTGCTGCTGCGGCTGCAGCTACTGCTGCCTGTGCTGCAATATTTCCATTAACATTTGTCACAGCCGCCGGCGTCAAATGTTGCTGCTGTTGTTGTTGTTGCTGATGGTGATGATGAAGCTGCTGCTGATGTTGCTGTTGTTGTTGCTGTTGTTGCTGTTGCTGCTGCTGCTGCTGCTGATGGGTGGTATGGGTAAGGGGCAGAGCCAAGGCATGGGGAATGGTATGGGCATGGGGATGTGCGTGAACATGAGGATGGGAGTGGGAATGGGGATGTGGATGTGCCACGATGGCGCCATTCGGAGGTCCTGTCACTGCTGGTGGTCCATGTGCCGGGCAATAGCTGCGATATTCGCCATTGATGTCGATGTAAATTGGCGCCTCCACAAGTGGCCAAGCGGCGCCAGTAGCTGATGCTGCTGCTCCTGGAGTTGCTGCTGCGGCAGCTACGGCTGCTGTTGCGGCACTAGGTACTGTTGCTGCTGCCGCTGCTGCAGTTGCTCCTGTTGGCGTCAAGGTAATCAATTGCACGGGCAGCAACTGGGCGCCATGAATATGAGGCATGCCACCATGTTGAGCGCAATGTTGCTGATGCTTTGGCGACAACTGTTGCTGCTGCTGTTGCTGCTGCTGGAGAGGGTGTTGCTGTTGCTGCTGCTGCGACTGTGTGGCCTGTTGTATCTGCTGCTGATAGTAAACCGTGGTCTGTTCGTAGGCAGCATACCCCAGAGCAGTGGTTGTTGTAGTTGTTACGGACGACAAGTTGCTGCCGCTGGCCACCGATGTTGCTTGTTGCAATTGCTTGGCCTTGAGGGCAGCCGGCTGGAAAACGGGAGCCAGCGGCGTCAAGTTCGATTTATAGGCCTTGATTAAAGCACTGGAAGTCCCTGCTGCTGACGGCTTGCTTGTTGAGGCCTTTTGATTATCCTGCTCTTGGGTTTTATTAGAAACTGAACCATTTTGCAATTTCCTGTTGGTGCTGGCACGCCCACTATCGTTGCTGCGATTATTGTTGTTGTTGTCGACGACTTGGGGCTCCACCCGGTTGCTGTTGCAGTTCGACCTTTCGATTACCTGATAGCTTTCACCAACAAAAGTCACCAAATCGGAGGGCGTTGCCACAGCAGCCCCAGCAGCTGCCACACTCTCACTATGATCCTCATTTTTGTCGTCGTCGTCGCTTTCGATAACCTGTTCGATAATTCGCAAGTTATCGTAGTCGATAATGCGAGCATAGCCCATTCCAAAGGCCAAGCTCGTCAGTCGAGCCACATCATCTGCGACTTCGTCTTCAAAAGCTATTGATTCCTGGACACTGGACTGCTCTGTTTCATTGATGGCATCTTTATCATCTTCTACATCAGCTTTCGATGGCACTTTATTTTCCATTTCCCCGTCACCATCACCATCAACATTGTTATCGTTTTTTAAACCATTTGTTTCCGGTTGGGGTTCAGTTTCCGGTTCCGTTTGCGTTACCATTTCAGGTTCCTCTTCTGAATCTTCTTCAAGGATCTGACTTAATTTGGTCTTAAGCGGTCTTGATTCCGATTCATCATCATCCTCGCCATCGTCATCGGTCTGGGTGCTGTTATCGATAAAAATAGTTGCCGTCGAACCGAAATAATCGCAATCATCGCACACCAGATCCAACTTGCTCTCATTGGCCTCCAAAACAGCTGCGGCCATTTTGTTGTAGGTTCCTATTTGTAGGCCTGCTGGGCTCAATAATTCAATAAATACTGGTTGGTTTTAAGTTAATATTAGATTGTAAATAGAGACTCTGTTGTGACAACAGTTTCCAGTTTTTGTTGTTGCGGCTGGCACTGCACATAGCCACCGGCAGCAGTGTCATGTTGCCTCAATTTAAGCCCAGACAAGGGGAGTTTAGCTTGGCAGTCGTCGAGAAGTCATAAGGGCCAAGTTTTTCCCCTCAATTATTTACACCTTACGGATTGGCAATGCCTGCAACGAAACGAAAAACAGAAAGAAAATTGTTTAACTCAAGGAGTTTTTCACTTTCTATCAACTTTGCCCTCTCACAAGTTCGACTCAAAAGTTTACCCTCTGTACTGCTGGCAAGTGTTGTTTTTTGTGCCCTTTGCCCCCAAAGATTGTTTATCGAAAGCCATAAAATATTTATTTTAATTAAAAGCAAATCATAAATGCAAGTAGAACAGGAAGGCAGAGCCTGGAAACTGTTTGCCTTTTCTAAAGTGCCCATTTGTTCCAAAAGTGGACTATTTTTACTCTTTAAGCCTTTAAATGTTGACCAATAAATGGTCAAGTTGTTTTGCCTTAAACTGATTTATCTTAACTGATTTAAACACTGGCCTGACCCAATTAAAAACACATTTATTGCAAAGGCAATCAGTGATATGAAAACCAGTTAATAAATATTTTATGCCGGTAAATAAATTTGGTTTCTAACCAACAATTGCTGCAAATTTAAGCCCTTAATTTATATGCATTTTGCTTTAAATGCAAAAACCACACCACAGGCCGACGACAATCAAATAAAATCAAAGCGCCAGAAAATAAATGTAGGAAAAATAATGTCGATGGCAAAAATCTACACAGAAATGCAAATGCAAAAATCCATTCAACATCTATTGCCACATGCCAACACCCAATCACCCACCCACCCAAACACCCAAACACACTCAAACATGCCATACGTATGCGTAAATTGCGTTTTTGGTCGAAAATTTCAATATTTTATACGACCAACCTGGCGTATGAGCAATGTGTAGGCATCCAGCCACCAGATAACCGAAAATGTTGTACGAGTTCTTGTGGCTGACAAACTAAATAATATATTACAATAAACCGGAAGTTATTTTCTATTCAATTTACACAACTTGAATATGTTGGAGTCGTCGGTTTTCATATTCAAGGAACTAAGCCCCAGCATCAAGGGTTCAATGGGAAAATAATGAAAGCACTTGTGGAAATTGAATGCCAATTTGGGGAAAAATGTGGTTGCATTTCTGAAATTCTAAAAATTTATTTGAAAAACGGAATCATTTCAAAATAAAATGCCTTTTAAATGAACTTAATTAAAGCCTTTTGTTCAATTATTGGCCATTTAATAAAAGATAATTGAACAAAATTGTAAATATTGAATTTTATAACGGCCTGAATGAAAATAATATTTAATATATTTGTTTAAATTATGGTACAAAATAGTTTGAGTTATGAAATATTTTCATCCTCATTTCCATGATTTATAATTAATATACAGAAAAGTGCAGAAATTTTCAAAATAAATCAAATATTTGCTCACTCCGCTGCAACCACCACAGCCTAACCCTAATTGAATTAATTTTTTTAAATTAGTGCAGAAATTATTTAATATGAAACTACCCTCTACCAATGGAAGGAGAAAGATGGAAAAAAATGCAATTAAGCTTGGCAAGACTGAAGGAATGGCATGGCATGAAATTACAGGAGGTGGCAGATACATTTTTTATAAGTATAAGACGCTTCAACATATAATATATATGTATATCTCAGAGTGGGTGTGTGGTAAGCCAGAAAATTTAATTAGCGTCGCAAGATGTTAAAACAGAGTAAACAAAACAACAAAATAATAAGAAAAAATATTACACGATAGAGGATAAGAGAAGGAACTCCAAAGGAAGTCAAACAAGAACTAATCAAGATTAAAGTTTAAAACTAAGTAGGTAGTTAGTTGATAGATCTTAACAGAATCCTGAAAAAAACAACTAGCCAAGACCTGTAGCTATATCTTCTCCTATAAACTTTAATCCCTTAAGCACTTTGCACCACAAACTGTAGAGTTCCTTGCTCAGGACATGAACTACATTTTAAGTTGCCTGCAAAATGTCCTTCAAATCATTTATCGCTCAAAGGCTTTCACTCAAAAGCGCAAATATCTCAACCGAATGAGATTTTCTCTGCACCGCCCACTCTCTTTTTTTTGTAACACCCCCATGGCTCTCTCTCTCTTTCTCTGAGGGGTCTTTGGGGAAATTTGCAGCCCACCCACTCTCACGACGCATGAGTGGGTTACCACCCCCCAGTAGCCACTACACATAAACCGAAACCAATTTTCGAGCTTTTCAGAAAATAGGAGACGCAACAAGTTAGACTTCAATTTTATGGCCACCGGCAAAGGAAAAGGGCAAAAATAAACAAACTTGGAATAATAAAAGACTATATGATACCTGGTACTTTTCTAAAGACTTGTTGCTTACTTTCTAATAGAAAATAGCCTCTAACACTAGGTATCTAGGGAGCATGACCTTTATGGCAAACCATTTACGACTCCAATTTCCATTTCATAGTTGATGGCATAATTTTGGACCATGAATCCGCAATGAGGGATACTTCAGTTTTACGCTCAAGTGTCCTTTTTGATGTTCCATTTTCCCTCCTTTTTATAATGTCAGCTTCTTGATCTTTGCCATTTGTGTCCCACGCGGCGTATGATTAATATTAGTATTAATTTGTTTTATTGCTCATACGCCGCGTGGTCCGAGCTTATCTGAGATGTGGTCCCATGATAAATTCGCTGCACGCTCATCACGCCTCATTCACATGACATGACGTTTGACTAATGACAGAGACCACCTTCCCGGCCTTCATACTGTTCATACAACGAAAAACTTCAACGGCTTACCTTTAAGCTTAGCCGAGAAAAAACGGGCAAAAAAAGGAAAAAAAAGGAGTCCTGACAGATAAAAGCAGCAGAAAAGTAGGCAAGACATAATAACATAGATAAAATGTTGACAACTTGCTAACAAATGAAATGCAAACATGTTGCAGCCAGCTCAACGAGTGGGAGTCGCTAAGGATAACGAAGACAATAATGATGATTATGGAGGGGGAGAGGACAAGGACGAGAAGGATGTTGGCAGTGGAGCAACACAAACGGGATATATATACAAAAAGGATTTATAAGTAGGCTCACAAACCATAGACTTAAATGCTAAACTTTTGAAAAATACAAAATTAAAGAAAATAAAAATAAATATTTTTAAATATTTCCTACAAATTCAAAAAATATTAAATACAGAAAAAATATATTTCTTAAACACAAAAATACTCTGAAGTATTTGAAAAGCTTTTTAAAAATGTCAAATATTTTCCACAATCCAGTGTACAATTAAAGGCAACCTCCTTCCAAAAAAAAAGCTTAGACTTAAGAAAGCTTAAGAATTTAAAACAAAACACGAATCGGAAGCCAAGGCTTCTGCCAAGCCGGTAAAAGTATGGAGAAAAAAGAAAGTGTAAGGACCTGAAAAGGTATGAGTAATTAAGACTCAAGTGCGTAAAAGTGACGCAAACGCTCGACGTCAGAGACCCGTGGAGAAAGTAGAGAAAGTGGATGGCAACTCCCCAAAGTAAGCACACGAAATGGCTTCAATTAATTGACTTTGTCCAAAAAAAAAAAAAAAAACCCGAGAACGAGGTGGAAAATTGTTGCTCCTTCGAAACAATTTGGATGTTTCTCCGGCATACTTTTAGGCAGAGCCAGGGTAAGACCAGGCTAAGAGCTTGCCAAATGTTGGTTAAATCCCGACAAGAGGCTTCTCTAAGCCACAGTCTTTAAATTCCATACATTTTTGAATAAACAAAATGCAAATTACATTCAGCAACAGCTTGGCAATATCAGTGTGATTTTGCATTCAAAAGCAAGTCAATTAAAATTGACAATCTATGTATATATGGGTATATGTATATGAGGGATAAAATTTCCAATTGGCTGGGAAGACACGTTCCCGACATAAAACTCAATTACAAAGTTCCCCAACACACAACAAAGAACCACAACACACATACGGACAATAAACAAAGTGCAATTAGTTGATATATGAGATGACCGACAGCCCGGAATAAAGGGAATAGAGCTTATACATACACACAGACCCACATACTATGTATAGGTAGAACAGGTCAAAGTTTATGGCCTGTACCGTAACCAGGAGCTGCAAAATGCAACTCATATTTTATACAAGGCCAAAAATGTCTCGCTGGCTGCACATAAAGCATTTTGCTTGGAAAAACCCAAAACTGACACTGATGCTGACACTTTCACACAACTCATCTGTCTCCTGGTGTCCTGAAGTCCAGGTCCTGGTTACTCCAGCTCTCTCTCCTTTGTCCAGCCACCATTGTGCATATAATTTGTCACTAGCCTGGTCTTTATACACCGAACATGGTCAGCAGAGAAAAATATACACCAAGAAAAAGTGGGTATGAAGTTTAAGGTTATTTTTTATTAAGAAAAGTCCTTAAACCATTTTAATATTAAAAAAATAAAATAGTTATAATTTTCTTGTATTTCTCTCTGTGTAATTCCACAAAGAAGACCATGAGAAAGGGTTTGCCGGACAGGTCATCTTTTGGAATAAAACACAGCAAGTATAACTGTCAGGAAACAGGAGCTGTCGTTTATCACACATGTAGTCCTACTTCTCACACGCACATCTCCATCTGTGTGTCTCGCCCCGGTGTGTATATACTTATGGTGCTCACTGTGTGTGTGTGAGTTGACTCTGCATAAATGTCACGGAAGCTGTGCCATGTGTGTGTCGTGTCCGAGTGTACAAGAGTGTTTGGTGTAGAGGATGTACGTTCAATTGAGCATATTTGATTAACAAATTAAATTGAAACAAATTCAATAAGTGAAAAGGAAATAGAACGAGATCATCAATCATACAGTTACTTGAAGAATTTTTCAGATTTTTTATGAAATATTATTTTAAATAAATATTTTCTTCTATTAAGTTAGAAATGTTATACCTTTTCCCAAACACATTTCCAACCATTCAAATTTTTGCACCTGCCATAAATAATTCTAGAGAAAGACAAGCTTTTGTCGGAATTGTCATTCTAAACATGCCGTATGCAAAAATAAAATATCCCGTCATGTTTTGTTTCTCTGGGCACACTGACAAGTGTTGAAATAACATTTGCACTGCATTTTAAATGCCATTTCCACAAAAAACAAAAATATTTGTGTGTGTACCTTTGCATTTTATTTTCTGTTGCTGAGGAAAAACGGTTAAAACCAAATAATCAACAAACGAATTTCCTTTGCTTGTTTTCGGGTTCGGATTCGAGAGTCGAAATGTTACATTTGGCCAAGAAAAACATCAAACATGTTGATTGTTGAATGTTGCGCAGGGACGCGCTAGGGGCTGGGTGTCTTCCTGGCGCTGGAAAAAAATCCCTCTGGCTTTGATTTTTCGGCCGATTCTATTTTTAGACCCGGGGGCCTAGCCAAAACGGAAATCAAACAGAATTCAACCCAACCGACAGAAAACCATTTACATATACATACATATATCTCTGTACGCATCAAAAACGGTTGGGCTAGGCCGCAGGGCAGAAATCATAGCATACTTTAATGGGCTGCCCACGAGGGCCTTCTAAAAAGCCCTAAAAAGAGAAATAAATGGGTTAAGCCTTAAAAAGAGAGTTGTTGGCTAGAACTAACAAAGCAAATATAGTTACCCAAATAAACATTATTTTTAGCAAAAAATAAATAAATTTAATTAAATTTATACACCAAACTTTTCATACAATTTATGTGTGTTTTTTTTCTATATTTTTTTATAGCCATTTAGTAGAACATTGAACTGTTTTTTTAAATTGCAAAATATTTTAGTTTAATAAATTTAGATTAATAAATTGAGACAAAATCAAAACTAAAAGTAAACTCTTTGTTGACGCTTTGAAATTGAGGGCATTGAGGGAAAATTCGATTAATATCCTTTGTGACACGTCCTTCTTAAGGGTATTTTTTTTTTTTATTGCACGATGCGGCGCCCACGCGTCGCACAGGAGGCGTGTCAAGTCAACGCTTCAATGGCTGCCATATGGCAAACTCTGTCTGACACTTTTTGATTAAATTACCGTTGCCTGTCAATACGACAGGGACAGATGACGAGCGAGACAGAGAGCGCCAGAGGATGCACTACAGAGGCTGCAACTGTCAGAGATGTTTCGCTCAAAAATTAATCACATGATTGCAGCTCAATGAAGGCTTTCCCGGCAGTTAATCCACTGATCATAATGCAGAAACAGAAATGACATCTTGACCTGTCAGTTTTGGCCCGGCCAGCTGTTGAGCTGTTGAGGCTTTAATTGCCCCAATAACCATGATGGATGACCGACAAAACTTTGGTCCTTTCGAGTTCTAGTTCTTTTGTTTTGATTTTTTCGCTCAATCGAGTTTAATTAAACCTCCATATGGCATACATTCTGTAGAGTTTGGCGAGTGGGCGGTCAGGGATTCTATTTTTAGAAGAACTGATTAGAAACAAGAGTGGCAGTGCCAGGGTAACGTCACTGCCAAAGTCCTCCCAGATGTAAATAAAACCAAGCTATGTATGTGTATAGATTTTTTTGTGGATTGAAAGCCAATATGCTGGGCTTTGTGTGCTCGGGATTATTGATAGATATGGAGGACAGTGCTCTTGGTTAGCCCTAGGGCTATAATCATGTAAAAGCGATAACCGATTGACGTGGTCAGTGGAGGAAAGTTTTGTTGCCAACTGAGGGATAAAGGATTTGTTGGTTATATTTTATCTTACAAATATTTTTACAATTATAACAAAGTAGTCTCTGAATAACCTTACAAATATTTATAATATTACATTTTACAAAGCAACCCGTATCATAGAATGTCAGAAACAGTCTAGTTTCCAACAATTCATTTTATTTTCATCTTTCCACATAGCATACACGTTTTGAGAATTGCTCAAAAAAAAATAATAAATAATATTAACTATATATATTAAGAAAAAAAAAACAAACACCATGCCAAACTTTAATGGAGCTATAATAGTCCATACACTTCAGTTGATCAACTCGCCGGCTACACTGCGAGAAATCGTGGTGACCATTGCCAAGCATACGCAACTGCCGCAGGACGAACTGAAGATGCCAGTGAAGCAGACCGTTGAAATGGGTCATCGTTTGGGATTTCTACAGAAATTAAATGGTAAGTTATAGAGACAAAATAATATAAAAGGTCAGAAGTTATAGCAAACGATCATAGGTCGCTATTATCTGGCCCCAATGACCTTCCAGACCCTTAATAAAGAAGTCCAGGCTCTGACGTTAGAGGAAGAGGTCAAGAAACCCAAGCCGTCCAAGGCCGAGAAGAAGGCCAAGGCAACTGTAGTGGAGAACAAGCCTAGCAAGAAATCGGTCAAGAAGCTGGAAGAATCCAAAAGTCAAGTCAGTGAGACCGAGAGACCCACCGCAGTCTCTCCACGTTTCAAGAACGTAGTTAGGGGAATTCCCCCGTTGGGTTTGTCGCCCGCCATGACCCCCAGGTCAAAGCGTTTCCAGTAGCTATAGAATATCGTATAAGACCTTTGCTACGATTTCTGTGATTTTCAGCTAAGAGCTTTAAGCCAAGCTAGTATCTCTAAAAATTTACTGTTTTGTTGTCCAGGAAGTGCCTTATTTTACCAACAATTCTTTTTTTTTAACCAAAATAAATAGTTAAAATTAACAGTCAAATCTGAAAAATATATATTTTTTAAAATTGTTTAAAAAAATTCTATTAAATTTAATTGATTAAATTAGAAAATTTCCTTTTGGAGGGAAAATACCATTTCTTTGTGTCCTCTAATTCCCTTTGCCTTTGAGAAATGATGGCTCATTTACGCAAGTTGACAAATGTCTCAATTAGCAAAGGACCCAGGACGAATCTTCTAAGGCCATGGCGGGAGGGAAGGAAGGCGGGGATCTCTGAATGTCGCCCGACAATGTCGCGACGCTTCCTTTTCAATTTGAAAACCAAATGAAGCGTCGTCTCCGCCAAGTGGCAATTTGGTTTGTGCATTGACCATATGGTTGGGCCACCCACTTCAAGAAGATGCCCCACGCAACCACGTCACACAGCCACCCACCAATATTGTCACCTTCTCCATAGCTCCTGGATTTTGAAGCACCAACCTAAAAGCTTTGTTACTAATTTTTCAAATTAAAAAAATTACTCAAGATTAGAAAAGAAGATTCTTAAAAATATCCTTAAAAAAAGTCCAAACTTATCTATTTTTTTCATTGTTTTTTTATGAATTATAGTATGAAATCCTTATAAAAATCCTTAAAAAAACACCCTTACATTATTATATATTTTTAAAATATAATAAAACACATCAAAAGTAAAGATCCTTTGAAAACATAACCCTTATCAACACCCTCATTAAAAAAAACCTTAAAATTCGCCAAAATTTCTTTCAGTTTCTCTTTGACCTTTGCGGTGACGTCGCAGCGCCAACCGGCTTCAGTAGCCAGAAACAAGAGAGAGAGAGCCCCCATGCAACGTAAACAGAGAAAGAGAAAGCACAACCAAAGCATCGAAAGAGAGTTGGGGGCCGAAAGGCGGCGAGAGCATGAAAAGCGAGGTGAACTGAAACCGGGTATGGTGAAAAACGATTGCCCGCCGAAGAGTGCAACAAATGTTTGAGCGAAAACTTCGGGGCCCAACTAGGTAAATGTTAGGCCATACGGCGAGTGGGTGGCGTGTGGGTGGTTGGGTGGCTGTCAGAGGGCAGAGGGCAAAAGCCGTCATAGTGGCAGTGGGGTGGTAGGGTTGTAGCTTGGTTTGAGGTTTGTTAGCGTGGGCAGTAGCGAGTGAAGTTATTTCTTGGCCTTTTTTTTCGGCATACTGGCATACATAGCAGAGAGGATTATGTATGTGTGGGTGTGTGTGTAAGTGTGCGCCCGAATGTATGCTTTTTATTAGGGTAGGTCAAAGTGGCATATTTAAACAAAAAGTATTTTATAAAAAAAAGACATAAATATACCTAGATCTCTTTTTCTGTTTTTTTTTAATAATTATAAAATATAGTATAATATATTAAAATTTTTTGAGCCACCCTAGCCCAAACGGTATCCTTTAAAAGGGAGGTATCTTGTTGGAGATGCGCGCGTGGCCAGACAATGAAATGTCAAATCCTGCTTATTTTTTTCCCTCCATCTCTACATGCATACATATACCATGGTATGTATATGTGTGTGTGTGATTTTTGTTCAGCTTTTTGGCATATGGTGGCTTAGACCTCGCCGCTGGGATGGCAGAAGTTTTCATGGGAAAAAAGCTGTGTTTGGATCTCTTTGATTCGAGGTTTTCTCGTTAAATATTTTGCAACATCGCATCGCATTTCCATGATTAGCAGATAAACATATGGCGGAAAAACATGGGGGCCCACTACGGCTTTGATTGAGCTTTCCAAGCCAAGTGTGGGGGCGGTAGAAAATGTTTGTTTAGGATGCAACAGCTGTTCCGGAAAAAGTTGGCAAAAATATTGCCACAAGCTTGCTATAAAATAAATGGGAAAAATCTAGGAAAATGTAAAAACAAAGACTTCTACTAATTTTACATAAAACAGAGTTTCTATTTTGTAACCCTTTTCCAGTTTTTTAATGATCTAACTTTTATCTTTACATTCGCCTCCTTATAGAAGACCCATTATTCAATTAACTCTAATGAACCAAATTATAATTGCAAATAAATTATCTCATTTAAGACGCAAAACATTTCGCACTTGTGCCTTTAAGCCATCCAGCTTTGAAAACCACCCAAAAAACGGCGTCAAGGCCAATTAGGAAAACTTTCGCAGACATCTCCTCCTAACTACCAAAAATAGGGAGAAACTGGAGACCGAAACTGAGGAGCAAATAACGCCCATGGGTCCACAGAGCATATGGCAAAGTAAAAAAAAAGCTTACCAAAGTCGACCAAACTTGATTAAAAATGCATAAATGCAATTAAAGGCAAATGGAAATCGAACGAAACTCGCAAAAGCTTCAAGCGAAAATGTCTTTGAAAAGAAATACACAGAAAAAAAAATATTTAGAATTATTAAGATAAATAATAAATATAAATTAAAGAAAAACATAGAATAGAAAAGGAATAAAGTGCATATTTTTTCCAGTGTTGGGCAACAAACAAAATAATAAAACACTAAAAAAAAAATATAAATAATTATAATTATAAATATAATAATTTTTGGTATAAAAGGTAATATAAATAAAAGAAAAATATAAAATAATAATTTCTTTAAAATTTTTATACATTTTTTATTATAATTCACAATGGTTTAAGCATTATAAGGTTGAAAAATCCAAGACCTCTTATTAAATATGAAATATACATATTTTTTAAATCAAAAACATAGATTAAAAAAAAAACCTTAAACAAGTCTTTCAAATATTTTAAAATAATTTTTTTTTAAACCTAGCTTTTTCCAGTGTTGGACAACAAACCAAATACTAAGAGACATAAAGACGCAGACGTGCAGTTGGCCAGGGGCAGCAGGTGAGGGGGTCGCGGGTCTATCAGGTGAACAAGGTGGTGGATGGCAGGGGTGGTCATTCAAAAGGCGCGACAAGTGTCGGCTGAGCTTTGCTTGGCGCGTGGCGGCGTCGGCGGCGGCGAGCAGCAAAGAGAGCAGCCCAACGGAAAAGCGCGAAGCCAAATCCAAAAGCAAAGCCACAAAAAAAAAAAAAAAAGAGCGAAATACTAAAATCCAAAGGCAGTCAAAGAAGAAGCCCTGACCATGCAGTTGCGTCAATGGGTGCGAAGGAGAGGAGGATGGGGACACCCCCCCAAAAAAGGGGGAGGAATGAGCCCAATAGAGAGTAAGGCGCAGACAAAGAGAGAGCGATAGAGAGAGAGAGAGGGAAAGGCACTGGTTGAGTTGGTTTTGCTGACTGCACTTGTTTTTGCCATTATTATTGTTGCTTGCAACGTTTTGCTGCCACTTGGTTGCAAAGAAAAACAACAACAAAAAATAGGCAAACAAAAAAAAAAAAAACAAAAACAAACACACACACACCAACTACAGTTAGCCGCTGCATAACTGTGCTTCAAAGTATATGTTTTGGTTTGTTTGTGTGTGTGTGTGAGTGTCTTTGGTAAGCTAACATATTGCAAGCATTTTTTAATACTTTTTGGCTAAAAAACTTAAACAAAACCTATAAATATTTAACAGTTTTAGTAACTTAACGGTTTTATTGCAGAATACTACCATTATTTCGCGAAAAATCAGCCAACATATGCTAGCACGCACACATTGAAAACTTACTTTTTTCTTTTGCCCTTTGTTTTTTATTTACTTTTTTTTTTAGCTTTTTCTTTTAATTTTTGATTATATTATTTTATTATGTTTGCTGCACTCACTAACACAAACACACTGACAAGAGACACCCACGACACGAACCAAAATTTCGGGTTTTTTGTTATTGTTTTGATTTTTCCTGCTTTGATTTTTCCTCTTCTTTCTACGAAAATGCGTAACAAGTTTTCCAACTCGTGTGTTGGCTGGGGGAAATTCGCAATAAATGTAACGATGGACAACAAAAAAACGACACAGCGGGAAAATAGGGTTTTACTTAATAATGTTTTTTCTTTTCACAAAAAACGATTTTTTTTAGATGCGAAGCGATTCTTCGATGCGACCGCGCGCGCTGCAAAAAACAGAGTAAGAATTTTCCGTAGAATATCGCGGACTTTCACTGCTTTCTCCGCTCTCGGATCCGCTATCCCGTTCCGTTGCGAATTATAACAGAGAGGAGAGTGAGTCAAAACTTGAGTGAACGGTAAAACATAAGCATGGTCCTCTCTTCGAGACTCTCTGTCTGCGTGGGCGTAGCGTCAGCGTTGGCGTCGACGTCGGCTACGGTTAACAGAAAGTTTAGCTATGTTTTGTGGCTATGTTAGGTCGTTTTGGTTCTGGTCTTGGCTAAAATAAGGATAATTGAGATCAGTTTTATTTTAGTAAAATCTTTTTGTAATGGATTTTTTTGTAAGCAATATTTTTGTAATGGCTTTGATTTTAAGGATTTCATGTTATAAATATTTTAGACTTTTTTTTCAGTGCCTGTATGTAAGGCAATGTAAAGCCATACCTCTGCCGGTTTCTCTGTTTTTAAAATTGCGTAGGAGAGCCATAACTACGCAAGAGAGAAAGCGGTGGGAATGAGTTGGCGGATTCTGAGTGCTTTCGATACCAAGCAACCTGTGTAATGGCAGTGGGTGGCCTAAAAAGGCTCAAAAAAAGCTTTCGGATGAGGTGTTGTTTTGGAGTCGCCGGTAGAAGTGCCGAATCCAACAGCTGTTCAGGAAATTCCAAGAAATAAATAAAAAAAAATCCGTTAAAAAGAATTTAAATTAATCCTTAGGAATATATTTAATTGCTTAGGTTTCACAATCAATCACCATCAATATTTCATTCATAGCCCAAAAATTATTTTTGGAAATTTAGAAATAGCTTTAATAAATATTTATAAATTAATTTACATATATAAATTACTATAAACTATAAATTTTAAATAAATATTTTCACAATTACTTAGTACTTCACCTGCCAAGCAATTCCTAATTCCAATTCCTAAACTTCAATAAAAGCTTTAGCCAAGTACCAAACCATTCTGTTAAGCCTGTAACAGCCTGTTCAGTTCAAAATCTACTATTTGATGAATGAAATGAAAATTTATTAGATGCTTATAGTTATCCTTGTACAAAATTGTACTCAATTTTGGTTAATTCGTTAATTTCCAACTTTACAGAATTTCTTGGTGGTTTTTCGGAGTTTCAGCCACCATTCAAAGTCGTTCTTGATGAACTGGGGCTTGGCCGCCTTTTCACGTTGCTGCACATACTTGTCCCGATCTCGCACCCATATCCTGGCATACTCCCAACCAAGCAGATAGGACATACTAACGGGAACGCACTATCAAAATTAATTTTTAATAAATATATTATAGTTTAGTTAGTTTTTAGTCATACATCCTGTTCGTATGAAGGCAAAAAGCTTGCCGCCCGGGCCCGGTCTCCTGCCTCTGTTGTTAGATTATCCTTCGGCAGGCAGAGCTGAGCTCGGGACCATTCTTTGGTCTGTTTGTTCATATCGGATAGGATCTACCGTTCTTTTAATTTTATTTCACTAAGAATTTGGTATAATTGGGTCCAAAATGTTAGTAAATAATGTAAGTTTTCGACATGATTTTAAAAACTCAAAACGATAATAAATACTAGTATTTTATTGAAAAGGAAAGGCATTCTATGGCCAAGAAAGGGAAAGGTTTGGGAATAAAATACAGGTTTTATAATCTTATATCTTTTGATTTTATCTAAGGAATATCTATCTACCTATCTATAAAAATGGGCTTTTCTAGATTTCTCGATTTTCTAGTCTCTCAACTATCCATCTTTTCTAGAAAACTGATCCTTTCTAAAGGACTTTTATTGAAAAAAAAGAGCTATTTCCTCTAAAAACCATTATATTATATAAAATGTACAATTTTCGAGGACCTTCAGAATGGTCAACCCATGTCCTTACACCCTGAAACTTCTAAAAAAAAAGAAAAACCTCCTATAACAAACTTGGTATAAATTCTCCACCCGAAGGACAAACACAGAAGAAATGTTTTGAAGGCGTTTCCTTTTCTACCAATAACAACAACAACAACAATTTCAATATAAAAACTGGAACCAGAAAGGACTACCAGGACTAAGAGACAAAAAGGCAAAGAAGTATAACAAACTTTAAGTCAATACACCTACAGAAAATACAATAAAAATAAAAAAAAAGGGAGGGGGTGGGGGTAAAAATAAAACAAAATTAAATAGAATAGAAAAAAACCAAGAATAAGAAGAAGAATGAGTAAGAAGCAGCACAAGTAAAACAAAACACGGCGACAGGCCAACAATTTGAGGTGGGCGGTCGTCCTGGGGCGGGGGGTGGTAATAGGAGTGGGAGTGGCACTGGATGGTTTCCCATGGTTTGGGGAGACTTCTTGCTCCAGGAGGGCGGTTCTGCGGTGGTTAGGAAGGGGAGTACGGTGGCCAAACGTAAATCAAACAAAAATAAACAACAACAAAATGAAATAAAACAAAGCAAAACAAATAGAATAAACAAAACTAGGCAAAAGTAGCAGACGACGACGACGTCGAATTTAACAACGATGGTGCAAACAAGGACCAAGCCAAACAAACAAGTGCACCAAAAATAATTCATCAATACGGTAGATTTTCAAATACCCTTACTTGAGAAATGAAAACCTATTTAAAAATAATATAAATATAGTAATTAAAATTTCTTTAGCACAAAATTTAAATATTTTTAAACTGGCGCCAAAAAAAACTGTATTGGAAAACGCCCAAAGTTACGGATAATTTAGTAAGGTTCCAAACCAAGCTCAGAAAACTCTCTCCCGATCGGCAGTCGCCTTCAACTCCTTCCTTGGCTCGGGTTGTTTATTTTTTTCTTGTGTTTGTTTAAGTGTTTTAATCAAGATTGTGTTATAATATTGATTTATATAGTTGTAAATATTAATAAACTAAGTATTTTGAATGGAAAAAGTCAATAAAAGTGATCGCAGCCGACTAGACGCCGGCATTTTTTGTGTGTGTTTGTGTCGGTGTGTGTAATGGCGCGTCATTTGACGAAAAGAAAATGCGAATTTCTTTAATTTTCCAACCTTAAATCAGTGTAAAATGTTATTAAATATATTAATTATATCTATAACTAAAAATTTTGACTATTTTCGTTGGTATTTTTAAAGTTAATTTGAGAAAAAGGAGCTCCTTTAGCATTTTAAAATGTGCGTGTGTGTGTTGGTGTCCAGAGAAGCCCGAAGGGACATCTATTCAAAGTACCGTTACCGATGGTCATACCCTACACTTAATGAAATGGCATGTAAGTTTAATAGTTTATTTTACCGAAATAATTTCATGTTATTATTAATATCTCTTTAAACTAAAAATTCCAACTTTTTTTGAATTTTGGTTCAACAATAAATGTTAAAAATTTAAATATGTTAAAACAATTTGTAATCCTTAATTTCCTAATCCTAAGTATTCATTTCATTATCCTAATATTTTATTAAAGTATGTTTAAGAGTATAAATATTCGGATTCGACCTACCCACCTGCTTTGCTGTCTTGTTTCTACACAGTTGCAGTGTTGTTAAGTTAATTCTATTGCATTTTAGTATTAAAATTAGAAGTCTTAAATTTTAAATTTTAAAATTAGGTTATAACTTTTATTTATTAAAATTTTTATTTTTGTAAATATTTAAAGAAGTCTTAAATAACAAAATGCAAATATTAAAACCCACCATTTGAGGCATTTTTTCAAACCTCTCATAGTCAGAAATAAATTAAATAAATAAAATCACTTTTCTAAGTGTATTTTCAAACAAAATAATATTTTCTCCAATGTTATATTAAACGAATTTGAAAAAAAAACAAAAACAAAACAAAGGAAAGAAAAAGAATAAAAAAAGTGGTGGATGGGGGGGCCAGGGTAAACGAAGGAAGCCAAAGTAAGATGGCAACAAAAACAAAAACAACAACCGTCAACCAAGACAAATACAAAACAAGGCAACTCTCCAACTTCTAACGATGATGATAATGATGTTAATTCTAATGATCATGATGATGAAACAAACGAAGCATTTTCCTGTTTTCTAAAACAAACATTTGCAAATGTTCTCAACAAACTTTTTATTTGGCCGAAAGAAAAAGGGAAGGCAGAAACACCAGACAACAGTAGTAGAGGGTGGTGGGGGGTGGTGGTAGGAGACGAAGAAATGGCAGTTCGAGGGTTGGAGGGTGGGGTGGTTTGGGTTTGGGGAGTTTCAAGCAAACAAAACACACAATTACAGTTACAGTTGTGTTTGTCTCTTCGTTGCTGTGCGCACTGCAAACAAAACTTCCTATTTTCCAACCCAACCACCTACATACCACCCCTACCGCCCATCCCCTTTGGGGCCATGACCATTTTAGCCATCTCTGTCTAACACTTGCACTATTTCCTCTTGGCCTCTCAGTCTGGCCCGTGTTGTTGCGACTGCTCACGTGCAATTGTATGCGTAAATAAGCATTTTACTAAAGAAAACAAACGGTTCCTAGTCCAGGCTGATACCCTGTAATTAAAGAGTAAGGGTGTATTAGTTTTATAAGTGTTTAAATTAAATTTAAATTAATAAATGAAAAAATTTAATAAATAAATATTAAATTATTAAAAATAATAAAAAAAAGGATTTATTTTATTATAGGGTATCATTAGTTATGTAACTAAAAATTTGATTGTTTCTTACTTGGATTTTAGTTGTATTTGTTTATTCCAAAGCCCTAGAGAATAGGGTGGGGTGGGGTTTAGGTTAAGAGGGGTAGTGAGAGGCAGGGTGGTCCTTGGTTAGGTGACTGTCACGAATGCTGCAATAACAACAATAGCAATAACAATAACAACCAACCCCACCACCACCGCCCTCTTGTCATTCTTCTTCTTATTTAGCTTCTTCTTTGTTGTTGTTGTTATTGTTGTTGTTTCAGTGCTCATTAGTCGCATTCGCATTGGCTCCTTGTTTTGTGTGTTTGCCCTCCCCTGTGTGTCTGTGTGTTTGTGTGTGTTTGCTTTTGTTTGTTTTAAAATTTTATTGTATTTCATTCAGTTGTTGGCTGGTTTCGTTCGTTGTTGTTGGCCTTGCTGACTTCGTTTACATTTAACCCCCCAATTCCCCCAGGGGACCCCCCATTTGTCCACCTAACCACCCATTCAACCTCTCCTTCCTCTTCCGTTTTTGGGATATATTTTCATCGGCCATTGTTTCAAGCAGACATTTCTCATTCTAATCAGAGACTGACATCATTATACTACTACTGTGAGAGTATTGGGGATTTAATATTTAAGATATTTAATATTTTTAATATTTAATATTTCCAAGGTACTGTGAGAGTATTGGGGCTTAATATTCAAGATTCTTAATATTTTTAATATTTAATATTTCCAAAACACTTGCATTCCAAACATTTAGTTGCCATTTCTAAAGCCACATTCCTAACTTTTATTACCCAAAACATGTGCTCCCCAATTACTAAATAGAGTTACTAGTTTAGAAACTACTAGCAGGTACAAGTCATGCTTTATTTTTTTGTTTGGTTGCTTTTGAATTACATTTCAAGGCTTTCAAGACAAAAGCCATGAAAATGTGCAACGAAATATTCGACATATTCCAGATAATCAACAACTATGGCAACATATACTTAAAAAAAAAACAAATAAAAAATAAAAATAAAAGAAACTCAAAAGGCAAGCTACATAAGTAGTCATATTTTGGCCAACCACCCACAAAAATGATCACGTGTTACCAACGTTGGTTGGCCAACAAAAAAATGCTTAATTAATTAATTTTTTTATTTATATTTTGTTTTTCTGCATTCTCTTGTTTTTTTTTATGTATTTTTTTTATTCTTACAGAGCTGCGTTGGCATTTTGTGTTGCCGCTGCGGGAGTGTTTATATGTCATTGTTATTGTTAACAGCTGTACTTTTGCAAATTTACAGCAGAAAAAGCACCTTAAAAAAAACAAAACGTATAAAATAAAAAATTAAACAACAACGAATAAAAACAAAACAACCAACAACAGAAACAGAAACAGCAGAAAACAATTTTTGCTGAATGCACACGAAAAATCAACGGTAGAGAGTTCAAACCAAAAATAAGTGAGGCTCCACCGAATGCACTGCAAGAAAACTATTTTCTCAAAATTCTATTTTAAAATTTTTAGTTGTTATTTAATAAATATTGTTTATGTATAAACTTCTACAAGGTCTTCAATTTATACTGTTAAATTTTCACGTCTAACCCTTTCAAGTTTAATACCTTTTTTCTGGAAATCGCAATTTCTCAAAAACTACTCCAACGATTTTGATAAAATTAATTACAGATGTTGGAGATACAATAAACTATTAATTAATGAAAGTCTATGCCCTCTAAAAATTAAAAAAACATAAAAAAACCTAATAATGCTCGAAAATTGTAGTCTATTTTCTTTTTTTACCAAAAAAACCTTTGCTTAAAATGCCATTTTAATAAAAACTTCGAAGTATTAACCTTTTTTAAAACTA